AAGAGTTTATCGGTTTTTGATTAACCAAAATTTGATAACCCTTAATGGATTCGGTTTGACCGAAAATCGATAAGACCTTAACGGATTCATACTAAAGTTAATAATAATAACAAAGTCTGTATCTAATGAATTTTGAGTTGACTGGGGTAACAACACCAAAAAAAAGTATGAGATCCTATATTTATAGAATCGTACTAAAACCTATATTATCTAATGGATTTCCCTCAAAAAATTTGTCAGGTGAGATCCTCGGACCCCTTCTCCTCTTGTCCTCCCCACGCCACTGAAATTATCATAACAAAAAATTAAAATGCGTAAGTAAGGCAATACAATATACAAATTGCAATGCTTATTGTTGTACTTTATCACTTACGTAATGTTCATATCCCGTCTTATTGCTAATAGTTTAGTTGAAGTTAATAAAGAGAAAATACTATCTCTAAATACACGTGGAATTGATTGTGTATGGAGCATATCTTACTATTTGAGCGAATAAGCTCATTTTCATTATTCGACCCGACTAATATAATCCCTAATCTCTACAGAGTCTGTTATGGGACAGAGCCCTAGATGAAATTGAACTAGTCAATGAACACTCGTCCAAATTACGTCAATAGTGCTAATTACACCACCACAACCACAACCATTATCTTTTTCATTTTCAATTATTATTATTCAACATTTTTCATCAGTCTCTTTGATTGACAATTAGGTCAATGATTTGGACAATCTTAGTAGTGACTTTGATCCCACCACACTTCCCCATCTACTCATAACCTTCTTCCCATTTGAACATAGCATCCTGCAAAAAGTTCATCTAAATCAGGGTGCTACTAATACCATTATGGTATCATTGGTCCACATAATTATGCATTTCTTAACCCTGTTTAATGAGCTCAAAGTTCATTGAATCTCTGATTTTCTGATTCCCACTCCAAAAGTGTATCCAGCAAAAGAAAGAAAATCAAAGAAAGTTGTGCAAAGTTTCACATCGATATCATTTAAAAAAAACCTTCTTCATATTTCACCATATGGTATAGTATCTCTATCGTAACTCATTATTCTTTTGATCTACAAAATACATGCTACATTTACATCGGGTCATACAAAATTTCATCACACCAATTAGAAATTATATACATACTTCATTTGGGGGAGAAAAGATTCGTTACTCACATAAAAAAAAACGCAAAACACTTTACATTATGATGTCTGGCCACTAGAAAGAAAAATGATTGGCTGTAACTTTTTTTAAGGATATTTCAAAAGAAATAGAGCATATATAAAAGAAAAAAAATAGTCTTTTTAGGCAACCAATATAAAACAAGAAAGATATAAGGACAATGGTCAACTAGAAGTTGAAACATCGATAAGAGAGTTTTTTTTCCGCCACGATATGGTTGTCAATACTCTGCTTGCAATTCAGGGACATAAAGATCTGGATTTTTATAAATTCTTCTTCCATTAAAGTGCTATGCTTTTTAAACTTTTAAGGTAACCTGAAGTCCTGAAATCCATGGATGCTGCAAGATATTCAGGAGTGAATTGAAATAAAGTCTTTGGTTCCTTTGCAGATGTCAAAACGAAAGTGGGGTTTGGGAGTGATCTTTTTTGTTGATGCTGGTTGAAGAATTTCCAACTAAGACTGCTGGTAATGGCAATGCCCATAATGGGAAGCCAGAAACTTGGTAATAATGATGGATAGCCTAATTGAAAGATGGTGCCAACTTAATGGGGAAAGCACTAAACAGGGGATGATCATGAAACAGAGGCGGCCTCTAATTCTATTATTAACTTTGTAATGGGCAATGGTCCTTTGCCAAAGGATCTCCACAAACACTATATATAATCGTGACATGATTTAGCCATTTAGGACTCTCGCAACTAATGTTTAATTATCGTAAAATCATCATTCCACGTTGTACCGCATTCATCCAATATCGTATCATCATCATCATATCACATATAGATAGATATTGGGGCTGTAAGTTGGGTACAAATATTTGGGATATACCGAATATCGTACTGAACTTATCATTGTTTGGTATTATCGAATGACGAATATCGATTTATTTTTTAGAGATCGGGATTGAGATTCATTTTGGAGTGCTATTCGGTATTCGGAATTACTGAGATTGAGATCGGTATATACCGAAATATTGAGAAACAACAAAAATTAAAAATTAATGAAATATAGCACACAACTTTTGGTCATTTCCCACTCTTTCATAACTCACAAGTCTCCATCTAACTCAATTTTGGCTTTCCAGTTTAAGTCACTCTCGTCTCTCATCTAATCTCTTGTTATTTTCACAACATCAAAAAGAAAATGCTAGTATTAGTCGTCTCCCATCCTCCAATTCATCGAATTGAAAATTACCAATGACAAGAACTTTTTTTTATAATGGTGATGAACTTTGATTAATAAAAGGAAGCTCCAAGTTGTTCCTCCCACAATGAGCGAGAGTTAACAAGGAGATTTTTCCAAAAATAGCACTGTTTAAAAAAAAAATTCCAAAAATAGCACCTAACTCCGAAAAATTCCAAAAATAGCACCCTTTTTGTAAAACCGCCACCCGGAGGTGCGCTTTTCGATGATACCCGAACATAAAGATACGTTCGTTTGAAGTTTCCACCTAGGTTAGGATTTTTCAAAAAAAAAAAAAAAAAAAGGCAGAACGCACCCTGGGGGTGCGGTTTGCAAAACCGCCCCCAACCAGTGCGGTTTTCATCGAAAAAACGCGCCCCCCGGGTGGCGGTTTTGCAAAAACGGTGCTATTTTTGGAATTTTTCGGAGTTGGGTGCTATTTTTGGAATTTTTTTTAAATAGTGTTATTTCTGGAAAAATCTCGTTAACAAGATGAGAAAACAAACCAAAACACAAAAAGGAGGAAAAAAACAAGCAGGTGAAAAGAAGAAAGAACCCCAAAATGGAAGAACATCCAGGAACATAAAAGAACTGGGAAGTCAATCAATCCTATTGAGCTGAAGAAGGAGCCTCCCCTGATCGGTACTTAACTTGTCATGACAAGAACTTGAGTTGTCATCTCTCCTCCCTTCTCCCTATCCATGTCTTAGCTCTAGGCATATTCAAGACTCTTTCTTAGTCTCTTTGCTCTAAATTAAACAATCAAATCTAATTTATATATATTTAATTATTAATTACAAAGATAATTAATTGTGTATTCGATAATACCGATTGGAATACCGAAATATTTAGGAATTGAGATTGAGATACCGAAATCATTTAGGGATTGAGATTGTAATTAATTTTAAAGAATAATTTGATATTCAAAATTTAGATATTTGATATTGAAATACCAATATTATATCGATTTCCACCTAATAGATATTGCATAAAGAGGGATATGCTAATAGTGCAAACAGAAAAGCACGAAACCTGACCGTACGTACCATTGCCGCACTAAGAATATTCTATACCCACTGAACAGGTGGATAGGAGATGTTTCACAAAAAGTGTTACCCAACTATTTGGAGGTGGTAAGCTAGGATTTTGGGTGATGGGTTTTTTAGAGAAAATGTTTCTCAATCGTGAACTAAAATTTTTCGGATTTCACTCAATTGATTTGAAAGAGATTTTTATCTTTTAAAAATGAACTCTGTTGAAAAGTATGATAATGCAAGAACTACGGATCTAGATATTATGCCTAGTGTTATGAGACAATTCAAGTACAACATCGGTAATGCAAGAGAAGAGACTTTTGTATATTAGCGTCCACCGGATCATTAGTACGAGGTATTTTGGGAATAAATACAAAAGAAATCTGTGCGGGTTTGGTCCAAAGCAGACAATATCGTACTAATTGAGCGGCCGGGTTTTGACAAGTGGTATCAAAGCCTGGTTATTCGGATCGGGGTGGTGGACGTCAGTTCGGTGGACCCTCATTCGGTGACCACGGGATTTGCGATCTGCGTATAGTTTGGTGGATCCAGGAGAGATCCACGTCTGTTTGGCGGATCAAAGAAGGTCTGCATTTGGGAAGTGGATCAAAGAGAATTCTGCGTATGAGATCATTGTCTTTTGATAGAGATTGAGAATTGGAAATATATGTCTTTTGAGGAAAAAATCCCAGAATACACCAATTATTAAAAAAAATTACCAAAATACAGTACTTATAAAAGTAATTCCCAAAGTACAGCAGTTTCAACATCACTGTCTTTGTCTAAGACAGTGATGTTGATCACCGTTTTGGTCTAAAATGATGATACATCACCGCTTTAGACAAAAGCAGTGATGTTATCACCGCTTTAGACCAAAGCAGTGATGCCATCACCGCTGTCAAGGACGACAGTGATGGCAAGACCGTTGATGAGCGAGGCAGTGAAGCCTTCACCGTTGGATCCAACAGCGGTGAAGTGGCGCGGATCGCTGACGTGGACGCGAGCGGGCACTTCACCGCTGAAGACCAAAGCGGTGATAGCCCCGCTTTCCACGTCAGCGATCCGCGCCCCACCCCGCGCCTTCACCGCTGCCGTCCGATGCAGTTATGCGCGGATTGTGGTTTTTCTCCACAATCCGACGCATCAGGAGCCGCCACGTCAGCGATCCGTGACCATCACCGCCTTTGTTGGACGCGGTGATGGCGTTGTGTTTGTTTGGGGCGGTGATAACTGGCCAGGTCTTTTCCCAGCCCCAAACACTATAAATACCCATCCCCCCCTCATTCCAAACCACACCACCACTTTATACTTCTTTCTCCCTCCATTTTTCACTCTAGTTTCGTTCTAAGTATGCTCTGTGGTTGCGGCTAAGTCCGATCTTCCGCATCAGAAAGAATTACTAGAGTTTTTGTTTTGTTGTTTTGTCGATACTCTCGCTAGCTTTTCGGCAAAAAATGGACGAAGAGGCTTTGAGAGTACGTAAATTTATTTAATTCTTTTGTGCTTTTTTTTTACATGGGTGCTAAAATTTAAATTGATTTGATTTCATATTTTTTTATAGATGGGTGCTGAGATATACGACCCTAGATTGTATATCGATCCTGGCCCAAGGGATCGAAGGTATTTAACCGGGCAAGATCAACATCGCTCTCGTTCAATTTGGAACAATAATCCGGTAGACACACTAAAATTATTTCAATAGTTTTAAAGTTTTTATTTTGCTTTCTAAGTTTTTATTTTGCTTTCTATTGACTGACAATATTGTGTTTTTTGTTTTGTAGGAATCACTTATTCCCATCAGTCATCGAGGTACATGTCGATTGCCCCGTTGGCATCCTCGACTGCATCCCTATCTAGAGAGGGCGGGATTGCACAATTTGAGGCACTTTATGAGGCTTGATATTGACAACGATCTGCTGACGGCAATGGCAGAGCGATGACGCCCTGAGCTGCATACCTTCCACTTTCCCAGTGGCAATAAGAAGAGTTCCTTTATACTTCCCAGTAAGGAAAGTTCCATCAACCTGTTAAAATGAATAATGAGTTAGTAAAAATTGAAATTAGTAAAGTAATGAAATAGTACAATATTTTGAGTCCGTAATATACCTGAATCACTGGCATGCAGAAGGGAAACCCGTCAATGCATGGCTTGAATGTCCAGAACAGACGATGAAACATCAACTCGTTTTGTACTCGAACTTGATCTTCAGTTTCTACGTTGTTGTACCAAGGCACGAAAACCGTCCCAGGGTTGGACTCCTCCATTGCGGACATTAGTCTGGGGAGTAAAGCATACGAGTCATCCCAATCACCGTAGACATCAGCCATGGCCTTCTGCTTCCCATGCCACGCCTTCTTATACCTTATGGTGTAGGAGTGTCGATCCTTCACCTCCGCCATGATAGCTTTTATCTTGATATCTGGTTGTGCCTCGATAAGGTGCTTAATGGTTCTTGCCACTTTTTTTGCTTTCAGTTGCCGGTGATCCTGTGAAAGTATGGTTGAGGAGCAACTGTGGTTGTTCTCTACTGTCCGCATGACCCAGACCCCCTTTCTCTTCATATATGCAGCACGAAGTTGCCACATACAACCCTCTCCAGCATTCTTACAAATGACATGCAGTTGTCCCTTGTCAGAATATTTTACCTTCCATTCGAAATTACGCCGCATGGCTTCTTCGCTAAAAGCGTCTTGCACATCGGCTTTCGAAGTGAACGCCATACCCACTTCCAAATTAGCAGTCGGATTATACACAGGCATGGGTCGAAAGTCAGGGGCATCGTTCTGACCATATAAAAATTGATCAGGAACCTCTGTGTAGTAAGGCGTTGGTGCCTGTCGGAACGCCACCTCACTGTCATCGATATCGTCGTTATCGTCCGTATCTTCCTCCTCACTGACTGATCTCAAATCTTCCTCACTTTCATCGTCACTGGAGGCGAATGGATAGCTCGGCAAAGGATGGTCATCGTTAGCAGCATAACCAGCATCGCCTTCTTGGTCATGCGAAGTACGCCCAGTTCGAAGGGTGTTTTCAATGTCACCCCACTCTGGACCCCAAGCAGGCCATTGATCACCGTCGGGCTGAACGATATCGACGGCAGTCTCACCACCATGTGGCAAGTATTCTTCCCACCCAACACCTCCTTCAGAACTACCTCCTCCGTAGTTGCTTGAAGTACCTCCCCAACCATACCCTCCGGCAGAAGAACCTGCTCCGTAGTTACTTGAACTACCACCCCAGCCATACCCTCCTGCAAAACCATCATCATAAGAATACTGGTGAGAATGAGTTTCACCGACCGGCTCGGTCTCGACATACACCTCTGCAAGCCGCACCCCGTTCTCAGATATGAACTGTGTCATCATGTTCGCGTCGTCATCATCATTTATGTCAACTCTTTCGTACATGACTCCGTCAGCACTCATGTTGGGATACCGGTAAGTAATTTGACGAACTCTCATTTGCCCGCCCGTACAAGTCCTTTCTGCACACCTGTCATGGAGTTCTTGCCACGAGAATCTCGACTCAATTGTAAGCATACTGGATTCGCCATCTTCATAGTCGATCCCAATGTTCGAGTTTGTCACCCGACCATTCCAATAAATAATAAGCCGAAACTTCTTAAATTTACCCATGTCTGCAATTTATAATAATTAAGTATAGTATATAATTAGTACATTATGGATACAAAAACAATATCATCCAAAGCGATAATAAAATGCAACTAATTGATCTATTATGAGAAAACTAAACAAATTCATCTAAATTCATAACTAGCTAACTAACATCTATCATATCATAATTAAACTAAATAATATCATAACATATTTTCCAATAACCGCAATTCACTAAATACAGACAGTATAATTACTAACACATCAACATGTAAAAAATACATACTTATAACATACTCAATCCCGATCTATCATGAGAAAACTAAACAAATTAATCTAAATTCAGTACTAACTAACTAACATATATCATATCATAATTAATCTAAATATATAATTCTAACATACCTAATTCTAGCACATAATCAAAATGTAAACAATACATAATTCTAACATACCGAATCCCGACGAGTTTCTTGAGTAGTAAACTACGGAGGAACCAGCTGCGAAAACGACTTAACAAAACTATAATTTTTGTACTAATTTTCTGTTTGGCACCAGGAGGGAGGAGGGCGTGGGTTTTTATAGGAAAAATTGGGAGCTAATCACCGCTTTGGACCAAGGCGGTGAACACATCATCGCCTTAGTCAACAGCGGTGATGGCTAGGTAGCTGTTACCTACTTCTCCACCTACCAGGGCGATGTAAAACGTGGGGGCAATCACTGTTGTTGACAGCAGCGGTGATGCCTTCACTGTTGATGTCTAAAGCGGGGATAAGTTCCCCGCCTTTGTCAAAAGCGGGGATACAATCTTCGCCTTGAACAAAAGCGGGGAACGTATCACCGCTTTTGACCACAGCGATGATGCATTCCCCGCTTTTGTCCAAGGCGGTGATGCGTTCCCCGCTGCTTCACTGTTTTGGACAAAAGCGGTGATCAACATCACTGTCTTAGACAAAGACAGTGATGTTGAAACTGCTGTATTTTGGGAATTACTTTTATAAGTACTGTATTTAGGGAATTTTTTTTAATAACTCGCGTATTCTGAGATTTTTTCCGTCTTTTGATAGAGATTGAGAATAGAATTAAGGAAAAGGGGTATCTTGTGAAAGAAGAAAAGAGAAGGAAGAATAAGAGGGTTCAGTCAAGTGGGGGCCAAAGCAAGAGAGGAAAAAGAGAGGTGTAGAGTAGACATGACAAATTACAACCTAATCCGTTAACCCAACCTAAATTTGTCTGAAAAATAGAAGTTTTTATAATCCAAAATCTGAACTTGATTAACTCTTGATTTTTTGGGTAGGATTGGGAGGGTTAGTTGGTCGGCCTGTTAAACCCGTTCTATTTCATATGTCACTCTCAAAATGATAAAATCACTCATAAATTGGTGAGATGTTTAGAAAAAAAATTCACGAGGATTTGAAAAACATGTTTGGAGTTTAAGAATTGAGAATATGTTAATTCACGAGGATTTGTGCAATTTGTATTTCATTTCATTAGCATGTGGAGAATTGAGAATATGTTAATTGACATATGTTAGGTAAGCTATTCTCGTGCATATGTGAAGATTTGTGTTCTTTTAAACAATACGAAGCATGTTTAATATTGCTTCTAAGGGCGCTCATGACCCGAAACGATATGTAACCCGACCCAAAACGGGTTAGGTCAATATTTGATATGAAATCAGCCAACCCAACATGACCCAACCCGACCCGATTGCCAAATCTAGTGTAGAGACTCGAGTAAAGAGTGGGGCAGATCGGTACTAGGTTTAAAGAAATTATAATTATGTAATTGTTTAATGACTTATGTCTACAATCACAAATATATATCCAGACTAATTTTGTTAAACTATCCATAATTTAACCTCATTAATAGAATATTCAAATAACACCCAAAATACGAAAATACATCTACAATTCCAAAAACTTAACAAAACCTAAATAATGGTTTAAATAGTAAATAATGCCGAAATCTATATCTCTAACTAGTATAAATAATTTAATTTGAGTCATTGTCCTAAAGTTTTGAGTTCAATATCGTCCAAAACTCAAATTTTTCAGAACAACGAATATAGCCACTAATTCAAACGATTAAGATGAGAGTGAGCCAAATTTCAAGTTGAACATTGTTAATGATTCATGGAAGTTTGAACAAACATGAAATTCATGTCATAATATGTCAAGTCAATGACGTGGGCGCTACCAATCCCTCTTTTGCTTGAATTTAAAAATTAAAAGAAAATATCATAACAAACAAGTCTTAAAAAAAAGTTTGGCGAGAGACTCAGTTTTAAAAGGTTATTAGTTATTACACTTCAAAAGATTATCAAAATGAGAAATTTTACAATGCTATATAGTATTGGTGCTATAGGTTTTTGCTTTTATAGTACAACTTGAAATTGTACATTTAACGCTATAGTACAATTTTAGATTATACCTATACTGTTTGTACAAATTCTATATGGTACAACTTGAACTTGTACATTTACGTGATGGTACAACTTCAAGTTGTAAAGTTGTATCATAACATAATTGTACAGATTCTTTTATGGTACAATCTAAACTTATATATTTCATGTTATGGTACAACTTTAAGTTGTACATTAAAGTACCAATACTATATAATGTAGTAGAAATGCTCTTATCAATATACATTTATGCCCTAATGCCTTGCGTCATAACATAAGTTGTCATCTCACAAACATCCCATCAAAAGAGAATTTCGAGATCATTAATAATAATTACTACACTAAACCGCAAAATAAAATAAAAATACCTTCATTTTCTCGGATTTTTAAATCCACGGAAAATCTCGCAAAAGCATAAAAAACCGCCGTCTCAGTTCAGTTCGTGACTTTTCCCCCTTTCTTCCCCCACACATTACCCGCCATTTCCTTTCACTACCACTAATCACCAGTGCTCTCACTCCCTCTCGATGACGGTGACGGACCTCTTCGCCGGCGAGATCGCCACCGAGCTACTCAAAGTCCTCTTCTCAATCTCCCGACGAGCCTGCCTCTGCAAATCAACCGCCGATGCCCTAATCACCAGCACCAACCAGCTCCTGCCCATAATCCAGGAAATCAAATACTCCGGCGTCGAGCTCCCCGCCGCCCGCCAATTCCAGCTCGACGGCCTCTCCGAGACGCTCCGCGGCGGCCTCGAGCTCTCCCGGAAGGCCCTCGCGTGCAGCCGGTGGAACGTCTACAAGATGCTCCAGCTCGCCCGGCGGATGGAGAGGCTCGAGAAGCGGATCTCGGCCTTCCTCCACGGCCCGCTCCAGGCCCACGTCCTCGCCGACGTCCACCACCTCCGGTTCGATTCCGTCGAGAGGTTCGACCGGCTCGATTGCTCCGCCCGCCAGCTAGAGCAGCGGCTCGAATCGCTGAAGATTGGGGTTGGGGACGGCGGCGGCGGCGGCGGCGGAGGGTGGATGGAGGAGGCGGTGAAGAGAGTCGACGCCGAGGAGCAGCGGTGGGAGGGTAATCTCGTAACTGTATTGGGGGTTGGTATGGCGGAAGGGAAGAAGAGGGTCAAAGAGATGGTGATTGAGAGAGACGAATTAGGGATTGTTGGAATCTGTGGAATTGGGGGTTCTGGGAAGACGACTCTGGCTACTGATTTGTGCAGGGACGATGAAGTTAGATGTAAGTACTTCTGCTTCTTCGAATCCGTTTGGAGTATGGATTGCAGCGATGCGGCGGAATGAATGGAATTGAGAAGCTTGCATTTCTAACAATCTTACCCATTTGAAAATTTTATCTTTCTTTTGGCCAGGTCACTTCAAGAACCGGATACTGTTCTTGACGATTTCGCAGTCTCCTGATGTGGAGCAGCTGAGGGCTAAGATTCTGGGGTTTATTGCTGAATCTGATCATGGTAGTGGTAGCTTTGGCTGCTATGATGGGTTCATCAAAGAAGCTCCTGGAGGTCGAGTTCTGATTGTTCTTGATGATGTATGGTCACTCTCGGTTCTTGAGCAGCTGATCTTCAGGATTGATGGCTGTAAAACGCTTGTCGTTTCGCGGTTCAAGTTTTCTACCGTGCTTGGTGCTAGTTATGAAGTGGAGCTTTTGAAGGGAGATGAAGCTGTTTCATTGTTCTGCCAATCTGCTTTTGAGCGGAGTTTCATCCCTCCTGGTTCTGATGCAAATTTAGTCAATCAGGTAACTGAATGGCAAAGTAAACAAATAACCTGTAGAATACTTGATCCATGTATCTTTGTTGTTATTGCTAGAATGCATGTAACGTTGAGGATATATAGTATGTTCTCCATACAAATTGTAAATACATACTTGACAGTGAAATACATGATTTTGTACTACACTCAGACAAGAAGTATGTAGAACAGTAGGAAATGACTCGTTAGTTTGTTTTGCTGATAACTTACTGAAAGATGTTTTGTTGTTGTTGTTGTTGTGATGGTGGTTAGATTGTGAATAAATGTAAAGGCCTCCCCCTGGCGCTCAAAGTGATTGGTTCTGCATTGAGAGGGCAACCCGAGATGTACTGGGCGAGCGCAAAGAAGAGGCTATCTAGAGGCGAGCCAATCTGCGAGTCACACGAGAACAAGTTACTAGATAGAATGGCAATCAGTGTTCAGTTCTTGCCCAAGAAGGTTAGAGAGTGTTTCCTGGATTTGGGATCTTTTCCAGAGGACAAGAAGATCCCATTGGATGTCCTCATCAACATGTGGGTCGAGATCCACGACGTTGATGAGGAAGAAGCTTTTGCTATCCTTGTTGAGCTCGCAGACAAGAACCTGCTGACTCTTGTCAAGGATGCAAGGTTGGGATTTTTTCCTCTTTCTTCATCGTCAAGTTACATCCTTTCTAAAATTGCCTCACATTCGAAGTTTAATAAAAAGGTTGTGAATGTGGTTAATGTTTGGGGAATTAGGGCTGGAGATCTTTATAGCAGTTACCATGACATCTCTGTGAGTCAACACGATGTGTTGCGTGATCTCGCCATCCATATGACGAATCGTGGCGAGATAAATGAAAGAAAGCAGATGATCATGCCGAGAAGGGAGATGGAGCTTCCAAGAGAATGGGAGAGAAATGCTGACAATCCATTCTGCGCTCAGATCATTTCAATTCATACCGGTAACAACCAATCTACCTATCCATCTTTAAACAGTTCCAAATTCAGATCGAGCTCTCTAATCTCGAATTACAGGCGAAATGAACGAAATGGACTGGTTCGCCATGAACCTCCCCAAGGCTGAAGTTCTCATCATCAACTTCTCTGCCACAACATACTTCCTGCCTCCATTCATCCACAACATGTCGAGGCTACGAGCGCTGATCGTCATCAACCACGGTTCCCAAAATGCCACCCTCCGAAACCTCTCCGTCCTCTCCACCTGCTCCAACCTTCGGAGCCTCTGGCTCGAGAAGGTCACCATCACCACATTAGCATCATCAAATCCTGAAACCACCCCTCTGACCAACCTCAGAAAGATATCTCTAGTCCTATGCAACATCAACAACACGCTCGATTCCATCCTACCCTCTACGTTCCCTTCCTTATCCGAGCTCGCAATCGACCACTGCGACGATCTGATCCATCTCCCTTCCATCACCTCCCAATTCCACTCCCTCAAGAGCCTCAGCATCACGAACTGCCACAACTTCCGCCAGCTTCCCACCAATCTCGGCGACCTGAAGAGATCTCTGCACATCTTGAGGCTGTATGCTTGCCCGAGCCTCAGGATGCTGCCGCGGTCCACCTGCCAGCTGTCGAGGCTGAAGTACCTGGACGTGTCTCAGTGTGTGAACCTGAGATCGCTTCCTGAAGGGATCGGGAAGATGGCCGGGCTGGAGAAGATAGACATGAGGGAATGCTCGGAGGTGTTTTGTGTTCCTGACTCCGCGGCGTCGATGGAGTCGTTGAGATGTGTGATCTGCGACGAGGAGGTTTCGTGGTCGTGGAAAGGGTTTGAGAAGATCGGGCTCCATGTTCAGGTTGCGGAGAAGCACTTCAACTTGGACTGGCTCCATGAATAGTGCCACTACCAAATACCACCAAATATGTAATTATCTTTTGTAGCCTTGTAGGCCATTGTACATATATGCATCAAGTAAATAAATCGTTTTTTTTTTGTGTGTCGTTGTTGAAGTTCTAGCATGGGTAGATGGTACATGACGGAATATCCAATATATACATTTGAGACTATACTGATCATAAAAACAGGATAAATTCATAAAAGCAAGTGGATTAAGTAAATTTTTGTGTTTGTAATTGTAGGAACAGAGTAGTGAAAAAAATTTGACATTATAAAATTTTATGATATTATTTATCTGTTCTGATCTTGACTTTACTATAAAATTTTGTGAACCTTGATTTCTACACTATTCTCAATTTAGATCTTCAAATTTTGAATATCTTATGCTCTTCAAGGATATTAACGATTTTAAAGTCCTTGTTGAATTGATTGAATATGGAGCAAATAGAATCGAGTTAAAGGAATATATAAGATCAAATTTATGGGTCATATTTACTTATCCCCCATTAGCAAAACATAATGTCTTTTTTTCTTTCTCCTCCACTAACATTCTGCAGTTCTCTTTCACTAGCCATCATACACCATCATCAATTCACGCCAACTCATTAATCCTTACCGATTCACCGCTTTCCAACATTCATATTAAGAAATTGGAACATTGACGTTGAGAAATCATCATTTTAAGTGTTATGTAGCTTTGTGTTATTCATTATTTGACTTATTAATATTGATTTAGTGTTTGTTTTTATATGGATCTTAAAATCCTACGATTTTACGATTCAGATTTTACCCCAGTATATTATTTTACTTCAAATCAAGAAATTGACTGATGAGAAAAATTTTATAAATTCTGATAAGTTATTATGAGAATCTAATGAAGTTTTTTTTTTCTTTCATTTATTGATATTGTTTTCAATTTTCAATCACTTTCAATTTGGCGAAGTTAGGCAAGGATTGGCATTATGCCTTCCCAAGCGCAAGCTGTATTATGCTTTTCACGTCATTTCGTCGTTGAAGAAGGAAAACGTGAGGAATTGGAGGGGGAGAGAAGGGTTGACGGGGCTTTCTTTGAGTCAAGCTTGGAAAGTGATGGCTGTCGACGGATAGTGGAAGTGACCGGCGGCTAGGGGACAACAACAAGCAAACCGACACCACAATTTTTGCGACGACTTCTCTCTCCTTTCTCGTCCTCTAAAAACCAAAAACAGGACGGGGACAGATATTTGTATTCATTTCTTGACCACACCAAATCCAGATCCAAATGCAACGAATACGAGAGACCCGTGACGTGATCGCCTTGCCATTTTACGGGGTTAGCTTCACAATACGTAGGGTTGTAAAAATTACACTCTTATTGATTATAATTATTTTTATATTAAATTCGTGTTGCATTTAAAGATTTTTGAAAATTAAAATTTATATTAATTATATTTTTTTAAACTAACATTGCATTGATACAACTACTATTGCACATATCATTACAATGATACAACTAGGGTTAACTGCACCAAACCAGATACCATCGTAAGTATTGGTTTCGTTGCAACTAAATCACATAGGTCGACTTCCGGTTTCACCATTATATTTTTCATCCATAAACATAACGACATGTATCAAATTGAAAATTTTCGCATCAATTTACACAATTCAATTTTCCCTCACATTTTTCATCTTCATTTTGATATTATTAGTGCTCTCTTTAATTATCTTATGCCCTCATTTATTGTTTTCGTTAAAATTTATAATTGTTCATTTTTAAATTTTTTTTTATGTCTAATCGAATTAAACTTTGGCTTCATTCCAAATACAGTAAAATTTTTAAACTTATGTGGAATGTGAAATGCAATCTTCATTCTACTTTTTCGTTTATAATATGTTTTGCATAATTAGCACCTCAGTATAGGCTTTTCTTTGGGGGAAATTTTTTTAGGTGAATTTGTACATATTATTGTTGTACGTGTTTTAATGAATATTTGAGCTGAATCAAGTTTCCGCAGAAGGAGTCTTTCTATAGCTGAGTTCTGTACACCTGAACTTTAAGTGACGATCAGATAAAAATAAAAGAAGCATATTGAGATTAATACAAGGGATGCTTTAACTGAATGAGTGAAGAATAATTAAGAAACGGTCTTATGTAATAAAATCGAGGGACAAACAAAGTAAAGTAATGAGGGAATTTCATGTGAAGTTTTATCATAACTTTGTTACTAGTGTTCTACTAAAGAAAAGACTTCCAGAGCGAAACTCAGTCTTTCGAATGAAGTTCGCAGCCGAAGTCCTCCCATCTCCAACTCTATAGATAATTTTACAAGTGGATCGTCAGGCACAGAGCAAGAGAAGAATTTCAAAGGCTATTGTGATCAGGTTTATTCAATCCTTTATATTTATAAAATAAATTAGCTAAAAAAATTAGTTATTTTCTGGAGAGGAAGAAAGTGAAATAAAAATGGTATGATGTAAATTAAGATGAAAAACTTCAATTTGATACCTACCGTTAAGTTTAAGTATGAAAAATATAACGGTGCAACCGGAAGCAGACCTATGTGATTTAGTTGCAACTAAAAAAGTTAAGTTGTTAGTATGCAACGAAACCAATACTTACGTGGTATCTAGTGCAATTAACCCATACATGATACACCTACCATTGCATTGAAAAAAAAGAAAGTAATTAATATGAGTTTTTAATTCAGATAAATAATTAAATGCAACACAAATTTATTACCTTAAAAGTCTATAATTAATAGGGGTGTCATTTTTTCAATCCCTTTAGGGGTAGTCATGCTCAATGTAGTCAAATGCGAGTTTCTACATAGAAACGTTTTGGTGATCTAGAAACGTAAAATCGTTAGTTTTTAAGTTTTAAAGCGGAGTTTTTAACTATGTAAGTTATAAGAACTGAGACTTTGTGTAGAAGCATATTAGTGATCTAAAGAAACGTAAAATCGTAAGTTTTTAAGTTTTAAAGCGCGATTTCTACTACATTGGTCATGCTATCTTACCCCATTTTACATTTCCGGTAGCAATAGTAAGTTCTATCAGGGTTAGAATGTTTAGATGTGATCTATGGTTATTGTTGGGACATTGATATTAGAATGTCTAATACGCAAATGTCTACTTTGTTAATGGGTTTGAGTCCATCGTACGACTTCTTATAAGGGTTCAAGCTAATTGTGAGGCATCTTGTGTAGGGTCCAAGCCATTGTACTATAGAGCTTGTGAGTTGGTTTTCGTTTTAGGCGTGTGTAAAAGAATGATATAATATCCAGAATAAATCTTCTCGTGACAACTCAAGTTATTAAAATCGGTTGATTTATGTGAGATCGGAGTTGGCATAACAAAATGGGGAAAAACAGAAAGATTGGTTTGTTTTATTATGAGCCATTTCAGGAAGAAAAATAATGTAAGCTTGTAAGCTTGGGCCCATTGTATCAAAGCCCAACTGCCCTGTCTCTTTCCCTTTCATCTGCATCATTAGAGCAACTCTTGTCTACAGAAAACCATGCAATTGAGTTTCATTTGCTTCTATTGGTAAACACTAATCACCAACTAGACTACATTGTGTTTATTGGTATATTTTAAATTGAACTCTAGAAATATGTTTGGTGATGATGCTACTATATTTATAGTTTATCTTAAGTAATTTATATTTTATAAAAAGACATTAGTTCTGAAATCGAAACTCATATAATATTGGTTCAAACATTAATATTAAATTCTATGTGTAGTTTAGTTTAGACAAAATACTGTAACCAAAACATGCAACTTTGTAACGAGTATAGTCATTTTTTGACCAAATCTACCCATAATATAATGATAAAATTGGAAAATGAGTGTCTCCTTTTAAATTTCATGGTCTGAGAGTGATTCTACGAACGTCTTTTTCGTCATAGTGTCAAATTTATCTTTATATTTTGTGTAGATTTGTCACAAAAATTACTATATATGTCATGAAGCCCATGTTTTGGCTACACAAATGTATTTTATCTAACTGTACCACATATATAATTTAATATTTAATGTTTGAATCAAGGTTACTTGAGTTCCAATTTCACAATTAATCACTTTCTATAAGATATAATAATTTAGTTCATCTTCTTATATTGCAAGCATACACAGATACACTTAGAGAAGATTTGAAAAGCAGAGAAATTTTCCATCACGGTTAACTAGCCTATTAAGTCTTTGTTACAACAAAGTTTAATACGTGATTTATAAAAAAATTTATAACCTATAAAATGACGGGTAATCTTAAAATTGCAACACAAATTATTGCTTATCGAATTGCAGTATTGAATATGCAAAAGAGATACAAAATTCTTTAAATTAATATAAATTTTATTAACTACTACAAAACAATAATATTTTGTACAAACTATAGGTGACTGGTTATCTAAAGTTTTAGTCTGGTTAATTGCTAAACATTAAACCTCTTGCTAATTTGGTATAAATGGACCCGAAAATAATGAGATGATATTGGGTTTAATGTGATGTTCATTTAGCCATTTTTTGGATGTGTTGACCAATGTAAGGGCATTAACATATAAATGAGTTATAATTAATTTCAGTATACAATTTTTACTCTTTATAATAATTAATTTAATTTTAATATTTGTGATGTTAGAAATATTTTATGTATGATTTTGAGATATAGTTATTATTTGTGGCATCAGTGGTAGTTGGTTCAAATGTAGTATTTTATCAGGTAGTCAAAATCAAATACTGGGTGCATTTATGACTTTTTTTTTATCTTGGTATTGTGAATAGGTAAGAACATAATTATTATAATGCATAAAACTATACCCAGACACATGATCGAGCTAGCATGACACAGTTAGAGCATACCATGAAGACAATGTATATGGATCGACCCTATACAAGCATGAATGCTTCATGAGTCGTACGAGACTTAAACTTCAAGAGCTCGCGCACAAGTGCGAACACCACACAGTCTATATTGGTGAACTCATGTTTTATGAGAAATGCGCCATTTGAGAGGAATAAGCGGTCATTTGTTTGCCATGTTTCAGGTCCTTTGATTCACACTATCGACTATGAATGGAGAAGAAGCATTTCGAACGCAAAATTGGAGAAGTAATTGGGATGTTTCTAGGTTTCTCTCGATTCCAGGCGGTGGGAAGAAAGAGGAAGGGAAAGGTGGAGAGTGGTGAGATACAAATCTCAGAGATAGAGAGAGATGAAAGAACAAACGAAAAAACAAAGAGGATTATCGAGGACCTGCTTGGCAAGTGTAGCCATCACCGTCTCATCCAGCCTAATCCACACCTATGTTGATATGACCTCGAGGATCTAAGCCCTTGAGAATGATTAACTTAGCGGTGGAAGGGTAATACCTGTTGACATCTCCAAGCAAACCCATCATCCGCCGATTGGAGAAGGAGCTCACCGGATCGATCTTCTCTCCATCCGCTAGAGGAAGAAGAGGCGGATTGTAGCAGCTTCGTTCGATGGGGAGGTCGAGTTTGGGGGAGGCTGGGAGAAGAACGATGGGAGCTGGGGTTAGCAAAAAGACACATTTGGTCTAAGTGAACAAAAGGGGAAAAAAGTGGCTGAGGGATTCGAACGCTGGGCTCATTAATAGGAATGGGGGCGTAACTAATATAGTCAAAAGCATGTTTATACATAGAAGCGTTTTGGTGATCTAGAAGTAGGGCTGCTAAACGGTACGGTAATCGGTTTACCGTTTACCGTTATACCGGTTTCGGTATTACCGGAAGCCCCTAAACTCCAGCCGGACGCCGATACCGTTATACAGCCGGTATACCGTTACCGTTTCATCTCGGTATCGGTAAGGAGACGGTTTCCCGAATTACCGACAGCGTGTCCCTGGCGGCCTGGCCTCCTATCCGGCTGTCTGTCTGTCGGTCTGTCCCTGACTCCCCTGGTCTCCCTGTCAGTCCCGCCAACGCCAAATAATAGGCAAATTAACAATGGTCACCCCATTGCTTGCGGACAACCATTCCAAATGGTTCCTTCACCACTCTAAGTCTCTAACACAAATGCAAAGTAGGCAACAGACAACATAATTATATTGTTTCACGAAAGTAAGGGAAAACAGAGCATGTATTTCAATTTTCAACAGAATTCTATTGTTGGCTGTTGCAAAGTAGGCAACACCGCAACAGACAACCGAATTGGCGAATTCTATTGCTTTACGCCTTTATCTCTATAATGGACGGCGACCGGAGAAGTGACGACGACGGTCTCAACTCTCACGTAGTTCAACGGACAGTGGAACGGCGACGGGAGGAACTTCCCGGAAACAGAGCCTGGATTTGGGCGGCTGTCTGCTGAGTCTTGTTCCTGTCGCTAGCGACGGAGACGACGGGGTTCGACGGCTGGCTTCGACGGAAACAACGACGACCCAAGAGGCCAAGACCCAACGACGATGAAGTGAACGGAGGAGGCGGGATCGGCGGTCGACGACTCGTTCGTGACTTCGTGGTCGTGCAGCAGTCACCAGTCAGGGCGTCAGGGCAGGGGATGAAATCATGAAAATAGGGCTGGGCTTTTTTATGGTGGGTGGCCGAGGCCGACTTTTCGTTTTCTACTCTGCCGATCCGCGCTTGAGATTTGTGAAAATCCCTTTCCAATTCGGTGTCGGAATACCGATCACCCGCCGGTAAATGGCAAGGCCGGTCTCGGCATACCGCCAGCCAAGAAATCGCCTCCGATTACCGTGTTTGTCGGTTACCGGTTTAACCGGTTACTGCTGCTACCGGTACGGTAACCGGTTAAACCGGTAACCGCAAACCCGATTGGCAGCCCTATCTAGAAGTGTAAAATTGTAAGTTTTGAGCTTTAAAGCGCGTTTTTAACTACATTAGCTATAAAAACTACAATTTTGCGTAGAAGCATTTTGGTGACCTAGAAACGTAAAAGCGTAAGTTTTTAAGTTTTAAAGCGTGATTTTGACTACATTGGGCGTAACCTGTTGGGCAAAGGGGGAAAATTCGTCCCTCATTTTCTAGCAAACGATCTTTTATTGTTTCCACCCAGCTGCCTCTTTTATTCCCCATGGTTTTTTCCAATGATAATGAAATTGCAAGTGAACACGTTTCTTACCATTAGTTTTTTTATTTTTGCTGTCACACCAGAAAATAAAATGGCAAGTGAACGAGACATAAGAGTGAGTGAGAGGACACATTTAAAAGAGGGGGAAAATGAGGTAGTGTGAAATAATTGCCCTTCTGCTTTGCTTAGTGGGTATTCTTGGCTTTTGTTGAGTTTTTATTTATTTTAGGAGATGACATTATATTTGATAAATTTTTTCCACTTCAATTAAGGGGTCATTTGAAAGTTGCGATTGTTTTGTTGAGATTTTTATTATACTTGTATCGTTTAGAATGCAACATTTTTTTTAGTAGAAACAATACATGGATTACATCAGCTACCACCCAAAATGAGTGATTGTTATATCTTAACTTCTAGTTGTGATTGTTGAGATTGTTTTGTCTCATCTTTTAGCTTATGTGACATACACAATGCATCTAATCCGACAATACATATATATAATATTATGCATGCATTCACAACAAAACATCTATTTAACAATCCACTTCCAAACGACCCCTTAAAATCCTAAATCAATATTATCATCTCAATGATTTTTTTTCTTAATACTATGGTAATTTTTGAGATTTAAGGGTATTTGATAATGTCAATATTTTAGTGGTTTTTATTTAGAGTTTGAATTGAAAGATCGTACGTACTGGCGGTTCGACCATAAAATTTCACACCATAGGCTAAATCTTTTTTTTTTTTGACAACATAGGCTAAATCGATACGTGATATTTAGCAATATGAAACGGTTGAACCACAGTTAAATTATGATTTCAGTATAAAATACTCTACTCCCAAATTTTTTTATACTATTACAGTCATTTGGTTCAAACAATTCTTTTACGTGGTAACAAAAGTTTTAAGGCACATTTTGAACTATCTATTGCAAAAAAGCATAAGTCAGTTAGTGATGATGAGAATATGCGATCTCATTCAACCCAAAAGACACTTTGCAACTTCTATATTTTTAAAATAAATGTATTTTACTTATACCCTCGCTCATTCATCAACTTACTGAGTAACATATATTTCATGTAATATGATTTTCATAGGTTTTTATTTATTTAATTATTTCATAAAAAAATATTTGTTGCATGAAAATTACTACATTGTTGCAAGACATGTTTGCAATCTGAGAATAATTTGGGAAGTCCATACACAACACATTATCCAACTAACTGTTAGCAACAATTTAACATCATGTCCTATATATTTCAAATCAAGCAACTTCAGATTCAGTACCAACGGTAAAAGGGAATGCTCTCTATTGGAAAAACTTAAAGGACATATTAATTCTTTTATCTTAAAGGTTGATTATGTATATATGTATGTATTATGAGAAACAACTCTAATATTCAACTATATGGTTTAGGTAAGTAATGAATGACAATTAGTTATATTTTTTTCTTTCTTCATTCAATAATTATAAGTAATACTTATATTATATTTTTTTTTCTCTTTTCATGGAGGTCTAAACACATTATGTATAGTTGGATCACTTTCAAATGTGGTATGTGTATAACTAAGGTAGAAAACAATCATTTTATCCATTTCAAATCATCTATTATATATCCATTATTATTTATCATATTTCTCGACAAAATCCTTCCGGCCAACGGGCTGGGCCTGTGCTAGTCTATCAATGGGAAGTATCCATAGACCAAAATCATGGATGGGCTAGTAAGATTCATTCCGAAAAAGAGTTCACACTTCACAGCCATTGGTTATAAAATGAGACCAAAACCAGAAAAAGAATGAACAGCTCGTAGCAGCCAACCAGGAAAAAACTGGAAATCTAGAACCGACCATTCACTACATTTGTGGCTGCGAAGGAAAGAATAGTAACTCGTAGTGGTCCAATTTGGCCGATTCAAGACATCCATTTAACCCTGCAACTATGGTGAAACTTCAAACCCATAGTGATCACATCCTCCACATATGGATTCTCTCGCCATTCTTGCTTTGGCCATCATCCTCTGCCTCTCCTACTTCACCATCACCAAAACTCTCCGCCGCAGCCAATCCGACAACCAACCGCGATACCCACCAGAGCCAGGGGCGGAGCTACACATAGTCTCGGGGGGGCCCCGGCCCCCCCGAGAATTTTGAAAGTTACGTATAAACTATATTGGTATCTGAAAATTTCGTATAAACTATAGAGCATTTATAAAAATCAAGTGTTCAAAACTTGAACAAGAAATTAAGTTAGCCCAGCGGATTTGAATTATGTAATTCATCCTTGAGATACTGAGTTCGAAACCCACTGCATGCAGGATGTATTTGGTTTTCTCTTTTCAGTTTTAGTAACTCATCTTCAATTCTTCACGTAGGAATTAGTGGTTTTGACTTTCATAAGTTCTCAACTTGTATATTTAGTGGTTTTGACTTTCATAAGTTCTCAACTTGTATATTTTGGTTTCTAAAATATTGTACTAAGAAATTAGAACTAAATTCTTAAAATTTCAATTTTAAAAAAAAATACTTTTGAGTTACTCTAATAATAAAATATATGGTTATAGTAATATTAAAAATAAATATTTTTATCGCCGTTTCGAAGTAACAGAATAAAAAATTTCGGCCCCCCCGAACTCGCAATCCTGGCTCCGCCCCTGACCAGAGCCCACCTCCCGATGGCCAGTCATCGGCCATCTCCCAGTCCTCGCCGGACCGGAGCTCCCCCACAGAGCACTCGCGGCGTTAGCAGACAAATACGGCGCCGTATTCTCCCTCCGCCTGGGAATCAACAGCGTTGTGGTAGTCAGCAGCTCGGAAATCGCCAAGGAACTCTTCACGACCAATGACACGGCCGTGATCTCTCGCCCGGCAGTAACTGCCTCCAAGCTCTTCTCCTACAACTTCGCCATGTTCGGGTTGGGCCCGTACGGAGATTACTGGCGGGAAATGAGGAAAATAACGATGATCGAGCTTCTATCAACCCGCCGCATGGAGCTTCTCCGGCGATTCAGAGAATCCGAAGTCCGGAAGTCGATTAACCATCTGTTTAAAGTAATTGGGGATAATCCTGAAATCGATCTGAAGAAATGGACTGGCGATTTGAGCCTTAACCTAATGTTGCGAATCATAGCAGGGAAGAGCTCCTCTGCTTCCGACGGCGCCGTTTCCCTGAAGTTCAAGACCGCCGTGAGAGAGCTTTTCCACTACATGGGGATGTTTGTCGTGGGTGACGCTCTCCCGTTTCTGGGTTGGATGGATATCGGCGGCCATCAGAAGGAGATGAAAAGGGCTTTCGGAGAATTGGACGGGTACCTTCAGGAATGGCTGATTGAACACAAGAAAAACAGAGCAGAAAAAACAGAGCATGATTTCATGGACGTTCTGCTCTCCGTTCTCGACGGCGAATCTCTCCATGGATACGATTCTGATACGATCATCAAAGCCACGTCACTGGTAAATTCATAACTAATCTCTCTCCCCTCATTTCTAATTAGATGAATCAGAGCTCTGATTTTACAATTTGGGGAGAAAACAGAGCATGATTGCAGGGGGAACGGATACGAGCACCGTCACGGCGACGTGGGCGATCGCTCTTCTACTAAACAACCGGCACGTACTCCGCAAGGCTCAGGAGGAACTCGACGGCGTCGTCTCGAAGGAAAGAGTGGTGACAGAAGGGGACATCGGGAAGTTAGTTTACCTGCAATCAATCGTCAAAGAGACGATGAGGATGTACCCGCCGGCACCTCTGTTGGCGGTGCGGGAGTTCGTCAGGGACTGCGACGTGGCAGGTTACAGGGTGCGGAAGGGCACCTGGCTGATGGTGAATGCGTGGAAGATTCAGAACGACCCGAGTGTGTGGCCGGAGCCGACGAGATTCGAGCCGGAGCGGTTCCTGACGGCGGAGTATCGGGATGTAGATGTGAAGGGACAGAATTTCGAGCTGTTCCCGTTTGGAAGCGGGAGGAGAGCTTGCCCTGGGACCAATTTGGGGCTTCAGATGGTGCATTTGACGCTGGCGAGTTTTCTCCATGCGTTTGATTTCTCGACGGTTGGGGATGAACCGGTGGATATGGCCGAGAGCTTTGGGCTTACGAACATCAAGGCGACGCCGCTTTTGGTTGTGGCGAAGCCACGAGTGTCTCCAGATGTTTATGCGTAGTATGAATTCTTATGACGACGATGGATCCTTATTCCGTAGTCTGAACTCTGGCGCTTGAAAGTTTGGTATAAGTATTTGGGATAATTCGAATATCATATTCATATTGTAAAGTCAATTTTTGATATTATCGAATATACATATTACTTCACCATGCCATTTACAACACAAACAAGACCTGTATCGATCGAAAGAAAGAACGAAAATCGAATCAGAGCTTCTTCCAGAACCAGGAACCTGAACTGTAACTAACCATTTCGTCCGATTGGCAATTGAACAATTGTAACCTCCAAACATATGGGACCAGGAAATGCAAGAACAATTCAAGGGACGTTCAGGACCCACGGCCTCTAACCTGACCACCAAAATCGGCTGCAAGACCCTCACAAAGCTAACAAACCCAGCAAAACAAGAAACCTACTACAAGTCTACAACATAGCTAAAGCTAAGATCTTTATCCTTGATCAATACAAGCAAAAGGCGCCTCATTACATATATTAACATGCAAATCTCGGTCCTTGCCCGGTAGACCGAAGAGACAGTTCAAGTAATGTACAGATACAGAAGCCAGAGGGAGGGAGGCTTGAAAGGAATTCATAAAATGGGATTGTTCCTGGATCGAACTAATTACGGAACCTGGAAGGCAGCCATCCATGTGCTCTGAGTGGAAGGTTATAGAACTCCTCGGTTCTGGCATCTCCCTTCCTGTGCTGGAAAGGCTTCAACCACGGGACCCCTCTGTCGTTGACCGCTTCCCTCTCCAGGGTGTTGTCCAGAATCGTCGCCACGATTATGGCCACAGCAGGTGGCGATGAGAAGATCGTGTTCAGTATGTCGTTGAACTGTCAAGAGGAAGTAAGCATATAACTCAATCAATGTGAAAGATATAGGGTTTGAGAGGAGGGTTTGAAGACACACTTTGGCATGTTGGCCAATTTGGTATACAAACTTGACAGTAGACACTGAAATGGGCATTGGAAACAACTAAAACACCGAACTCGGGTTCATATAAGTCCTACTTCCATTAGTTTTATCGTTTAGTTACTAATCAGCCTCTAATTGGCATACAAGAGATGCCCCATCAGAAACATAGCAGCAAAAACTTATGGATGCAATGGGAATGCTCATGGAATGAGTTCAGCCTTTTCATTGTTTCAGTACCTAATCTGTGATCTATATAAGCAAGTTCAGTAATCATATTGGTTTAACGCTGTTGAGCTAATGTAAGTTGGGTATATGAGTGAAACTTACCCATCCCCCGTTTGTTCTAACAGGTCCATGGCCGTCGAGGGAGGTGTTGCTGACGAAATATTGAGGAATGGATATCGCAAGGAACAGAGATAAGCCAAGTACATAGTGGTTTCTAAGGGAGTTGCTGTTTGCAAACTGCATGAACGAGATCCCAACTGCGGCTGTCGAGGAAAGGGCGGGAACAAATTATACCGAAATTCAGGACATATGATTAATCACATAAGGGATAGATTACTTACAAACTATGCCGAATACAACACAGTAAATGGCAGCAAATATTGGCAGCGGAATGGATGCAAATAAGGCACCAAATTTCCCTGGAAGATGAAATCCCTTGTAGTAAGTCAGAGACGAGCTATGAATTTGGAGGGCATCTCTTAAGTCATTGTGTAGAAACTCAAATCACTAACCGAATATGGAGAAGAAGAACATGAAAGCAGTTGAAATTTGCACCACTCTACGGCTTCCTATGTGTGTGAGGCCGAGAAGGCCAACATTTTCACTGCAAATATCAACATCAGACAATGAACTAAGCTCCTAGATTACAGTAAAGAGTTTATACTAAATCTTTGACGGTAAATCTCAATTACAGAACAAACATAACAAACATAAGGGATCAGGTACTTACACCGATGCTGTGGTACCCACAAGAGCACCAAAGATTCCATCAATCAGCAAGCTTACACCCTATACGAAGAATGAGACAAACATCATCTCTTGCTATCCTGAATTTGTATAGATATACAGGTGAAGAAGAAAGATTCAAAGAGAATTGTAGTGGTTACCTGAAGACCAATACTTCGGCTCACAACATGTCCCGGAGTATGTGTTGCTCCTGCTAGACGTGATGCGGCAATGAATGTCCCAGTTGACTGCATTCAGGGGAGACCAGCCAAGGTATATCAATAGCAACACGAGAACCAGTAATATATCTTTGCATAAAAAGGAAATAGAAACGCTGTTATGAATATCAACTGAACCTCAGCAGCGGTAACAAGTGCAGCCCCCATCATCCCGAAGACGTGGCTGGCTCTAAATATGGGTGGACCCCATTGAAATGGATATGGAACTCTAACCCTGGATTAGCAAAGATGAAATAACTCTACATCATGGAATCAAATAGGTTAACTTAGACGCAGGATAGCAGAAGTAAGAGAAAATCCATACCATGGAGCAGATGATATCAGAAATGATCGATCTGTTCGGCAACTTCGTTGAGTGATGGGTGCAACATTGTTGTAAGCACCAGCAGCAGTAAGGATAGCAGCAAAGGCCCAAACAATCGCAAGGCAGAAAAGCAAGTGAAATCTCTCGAGTAAGGCATGGCCCCTCGAATGGAGGTGCTTCAAATACTGCGCCAGCAAACACAAGGAAATTACTTCCACGCATTGGGCAGGCATTTGCTTCTTAAAGTTTATACAAAAAGTTAGACTTACCTGGCAAATGACAAGCAGTAGCAGCATAGGCAGACCAATCTCCACACAGTTAGCAAGCTGCATGAGTGACAAAGTACTTTCAATTATCATGTTAAGTTCAGTATCATTCAGCATCATAGGAAGACATATATCAATGGCCCAAGAAAAATTTACCAGCGGGAATCCCCTGGCGAACAGACCAAGGCCAACAACACCAACCACTGGGACAATAACTATGGCACTAAAGTGCCTGAGAAAGATCAAATAAAAGCACAGAAATGTGAGGGGAAAAAAAAGAATAACGTTATTTATTTGGGGAACCAAGTAGCATATGAAGAGTGAATCAAGAGAAGAAGTTATCTCGACGAAAATTCCGCCTAATGTGTTGATTAAGCTTACTTGGTCAAATTCCCGATTATCGTACTGTATCCCAAGATGATGTTGACAAACGAAGAAACGATAAGCGCTCCTTGAATTGTCCTCATAGTGTGGACAAATCTCTGCCAAGATACCACAATACATGAATTAAACAAAAGAGTTGCCTACACCAAGACAATGAAGAACCACCACACTTATAAGCTAGTCAAGAGATGAGAGTATACGCCGTGCTCATTGGTATGGTTCTCATTTGATATATCCTTTATGATTGACAACACGGGCAAAGTGTATGCAAAAGATGCTCCCATCACAGTTGGAAGCCTCGTCCCAATGAGCGTCTGAAGCAGCGTATTTATTCCAGCCAAAAACAACAATGTCTCAATCACTCGGGCTTTGTCACCCTGCGTCCAAGAATGCAGTTAAACAAAAAATGCAATAACATTTTGATTCTGAGTTGTTAAACAAACTTGGGATGTTATACATCACTTACATGAGTACCGCCCATCCGAGGCACGAGATCGCTAGCAATTATCACTATTGTTCCAAGCATCACAATGTAGTGCTGGAAAGCCAGAAAGGCCGTCTCGGCTGTCAAAAAGTTTCAATTGCTTAGTTCAGTATATTATCAGCTGTTAATTGTATGTAACTTGAGTTAACATCAAACATTTCAACCCTAACTTCTCCAAACCACCAAGACTGAACTAGGATAGGAGTTTTCTTTTCAGTAATATGATTGAAGAATTGAACTTTAATAAAGTGAAATGTCAACTCTTTCGGTACTTTATATACAAAGTTCTTTCAGGTAAAGATTCCGAATGAGGTAAGGAATCAAAGCATATGCTCAAAGATCCAGAATTCCAGCTCAAACTCCCTGAATACTTGGAAACGGAATCGAAAAGTGATTCTTCTGATGTGGGAGCAAAGCAAGCTACGCGCTTTCACCAATCAACAAGCATTACAAAGATGAAGTACAGGACCCCAAAAAAGAATTATCAACATCGATTTCATCCAGACTTCAGAGTATCAGAAACAGAAGAAGGAAAAAAAATCTACTTTCCAAACACTAGCAGACCAAAAAGCACCAATCTTTTCAGCAATAGCTTTCTCCTAGAATGGAATAAACCCCTAAATGCTCAAAACCCCTCTACCCTAATCCCAACCATCACGAATTCAAATCAAAATTAGACCACATAAGGAAAATACAGAAGAGCAGGCCATAGAGAGAGACAAACTAGAAAGGAACATACGCCAAGAAGGGTTGGAGTGGATGCAGTACTGAAGCTGCTGGAGCTGCTCTGCGGGAGTCCAAATCGGTCCCCTTGAAACGGCCATCGCCGGGGGTCCCGCCGGCTGCTGCGGCGGCGGCGGCGTGTGATTGTGGCCGTGGTTATGCCCATGCCCTGTTTCCACCATCTCGCTCTAACAAAAAAAAAAATCCACCTCACCCACTACCAAGATACTTTCTTTTCCCCCCTCAACACCCCAGAAACGAGAGCAGAGAGAGAGAGAGAGAAAATGAAAAACAGAGAAGATGGGTGGTAGTTGGTGATGAAGAAAGGCAAGTGTGCTCTTTTTCCCGTTTGTTTCCTGATCTCAACAGGAAACGATAAAATGGATGCTCAGATTTACCAGAAACGGGAAGAAAAAAGAAGGGTGTAGAAGAAGAAGAAAAACAGTCCAGCAGAGTGTTTCAGGCAGCTAGCTCGTGTGCCCAGAAGAAGGAAGAACAGAGGAGATTTGAATGGAGACAGTGAAGTGGTATAGAGATTGGTGAACTGATGAACAGAGTAAGACGAGATCGGGATTCAGAACCAAGACGGTGGTGGTGGTGATGCGGTTTCCTTTTAGTTTAGTTCTTCTCAGCGCAGCTTTCCAGGAGCTCGTCAAATAGATATCATTATAACGTATGGGTTTAAGAGCTTGGTGGGCCCTTTATCATTCAGCTTTTACAAGGAGAGAGAGACAAGAAAGAGGGAAGAAGGGTGAAGGCCAAGGAAGAAGAAGACCCCACGGTTTCTCTGGATTTTCAAACCAATACTTCGCCCTCCTTGTTCGCTTCTATTTACGACTCCTACCCTCTTCTCCTTAATTACTCTTCGGTAGTGTATTAGTATGACTGAGTGAATAGTGATTAGCAAAATTGTAAAAATAAATAGTGATTAGTAAAACTACGATTTGGCTATAGTGTTCGAATCCACCAGTGGGGCTGTTTCCTCGGAAAAACCAAATGCCACCGCCGGTGCCGAATTCGTTCCCGGCGATGTTGATTTAATATTTCGCAGTGGAAACTCTTGCGGTGTCGATTGAACGGATGCACCACTATCTTCTGACCAAATACCACCGTCGGCGTGCCAAACGACGATGTTGATTTGATCGAATTGATGCGCCACTGACTTCTAATCAAGACGACTATGACTACGGTTCACACCTCTCCAAACTACGTTCGAACGAGGGTGTTTGAGTTTTTGAGGAATCTACGTTACGACTACTCCTATGGAGATTCCTGTGGAGAGCTCCGCGACTACGACTAAGACTACAACTATGGAGATCCTTCCTGGAAGGAGAGCTCCGCGAAAGAGTTACAGAGAAAAGGTAAAGTTTTGAACAGAGTTGATCTGTGTTGATTTTTTGGTTGTTTTCTTTCTCTCTCCTTGCTCCGCTGCTCTTATTCAAAAAACAGCTTCGTAGTCTTCACGCTAGGTAGAACCGCTTCCTCAACTGCTCCGTTGCGAACTCCCACGTGTCTCAACCGTCTTGATCTCCTCCTCATTCGGGTTGGTGTGAATCTCACGCGATGTCGTTTTCTTCCCCAAACAGCTCTGTTTGCTTTTTTACTCCACGACATTGTTTTATATTAAACACTGTCGTTTGCTAATACAGCGGTACCGTTGGGCTTACTCGCGGTACCGTTTTTAATTAATCGGCACCGCTTATCAAGGCCTCCTGCGGCATCGTTTTTAAATCCGCGGTACCGTTTTTATTTTCCGCGATGCCGCTTATCTCCATGCGGTACCGATTTTCCCCTTCCAACAAGGAATAAAAAATATTAATTAATTATAAACAAAAACTCCTTCCCCGACACCTACACTAAAACGCGCGCCCCTTTTATTTTCCGGCGGTGTCGTTTCCAGTGTCGCGGTACCGCTGAGCTTCCTTGCGGTACCGTTTTTTATTTCGCGGTACCGTTTTTCTGTTTCGCGGTACCGTTTTAGCTCTCCTCCCCCGAAAAGGAATAAACAAAAAGCATTCCTTTTCCAACAGCAATACTACGCGCGCGGCCCCGTCTTGCTTTCTGGTAAACAGTGTCGTTTCCAGTGCCGCGGTACCGGTGAGCTTACTCGCGGTACCGTTTTCTGTTTCGCGGTACCGTTTTAACTCTCCGCGACACCGCTCGACTCCAAACGACACCGTTTTTTACCCGCGGTATCAAATTAAATGCCGAGACTAATTAATGCGGCATTTACTTCAGGCCAAATTAATTTTAGGTGTCAACAAATGCCCCCCACAATTTGGTTTATAAGAATTATGAACCAAATTGTTGACAAACCTCAATCACCTAAAATTGTTTCGATTGTACCACACATCTGTGTTGTGGCAACAAATATCACTCCTTGTATGGCAATAAAACTTTGCCAATCCCACTATTGGCCATACGTCTCTTTTTCCCAATGTTGCGGATCAGTGGCATGATGATTTTTTTTTTTTTTTTCAGAGCTGTTGGAAACAGGCGCAGCATTGGGAGTCCGCCTTTTTCATTTTAATCAGGGCTGTTGGCGGCCCTATTGTTGTATAATTCTTTTTTTTTTTTTAAAATTTCCGCCAGAGCTGTTTGCAACAGCGGCAGAGCTGCACAAAATTTTTTTTATTATATTTCTTCCGCCAGAGCTGTTGCGGCAGAACTGAAATTTTGTTTTCTTCACGGCTGGGGAAACAGCGGCCAGCGCTGCATGATCAGTATTTTTTTTTTATTATATTTCTTCCGCCAGAGCTGTTTGCAACAGCGGCAGAGTTGCATAATTTTTTTTTTTAATTTCTTCCGTCAGAGCTGTTTGCAACAGCGGCAGAGTTACATAATTTTTTTTTCTTCATGCGGCCATACAAATAATATATTTCCAGCTTTTTTTTTCTAAATAAAATAAAATTTGGCCAAACCAGTGTCGTTTACACTTACCTCAACGTTGCTTTTACTTGTCTATTAAAAGGCCAACTGTGATTTTCCCCCCACAATGCTGCGGCAAGCTTAGCAATGCCGTTTATTTTTTTTTTCATAAAATTTTCTAGACATTATGTGGCTTAAATAGCCATATTTATTTATTTTAATAATATCTAAACAAAAACAGGGTTGGCTTTAGCATAAACCATCATGCCAAAAGTCCACACCCACTGCCAACTCCACTGATCAAACAAAACAAGCCATCCATAAATACCCTGACTTGTTGGCTTCACACATGTTGGTTTTGATGTTTTGGGAGTAATGTTGGCTTGCACCTCTCCAGGTTGTTCAGCTCGAACACCTTTGTTCGAAACTCCACGAGCCTGATTTGGTCTCCTCTCAGCCTCGCGGAATGAAAAATCATATGCGTTCTTGGCTCTAGGCAAGACCTTCACGTTTTTTGACACCTTTGTCTTACCAAGTCGACCATGTGGCGTTGCTTGCCCAAACAGATCTGGTTTTGTCAGCTTCGCACTCTCACCATGTTGCTGTGAGTATAAGCACCGATGCTTACGAGCTTCACCGACCAGTGTGTGGGTGTTTTGTTTACCACGACACTTACCACACATCCACATCGTTTCTTTTGAGCTCCCGTGTGATTTTGGAGTTTGTAGAGTATTATACTTGCCCCCCAATCCACCATTCATAGCAGACTTGTTCCTCCTCGACACTGGTGTGGCAACTCCATGTCGGGCTTGCTTGAACTTGCCCCCCACTTCACTCGGTGGCGGCTTTGGGGACAACTTATACGAAGGATCTAGGTAAGTTACACCAACTTTCGTGGCCTTGGGGGTTTTCACGTGATCACCACCTCCATATTGAATAGTGTTCGTGGCAACCCACATATGCTTTTTCCTAGAACAGGGTGGATGTGGCAAACTGCTTCGCCACTTGTGATATTGTTTCTCCTTCAACCCGCCTTGCAGTGGGATCTCATGCCCCCCTAGCGGTTTAGATCGAACATCATCGTGACGTTGGATTGACAACACATCATATGTGAGTTTTCCATGCTCAACGTGCTTGTAGCCAGGTTCTCCACCCTGATTCTTATTTTCATTCTTATTAGAAGTACGTTGATACTGGCTTCTTTGTGGTGGTTTCTGCAAGCCACCTCCAACTTGCGTGTCCTTAAGAACAATGTTGTTCACGGGAAGAGACACTTTGGATTTGTGCGCTTCTGGCAACACTATTGTAGCCAGATTTGGCGATAGAGTTTGGTACACAATGGCTAGTCCATCAACCATTAAATCATCGCACGCAACAGGCATTGTTTCAGATTTAAACACATCAAAATCGTACGTGGCTCTACGTATTGACATATTAAAATCAGAAACACAATTATCCAATTTATCACACCATTGATCAATATTTTTTTCAAGATTATCCATTTTTTTATCAAGAGAAGTTAAAATGATATTTACCTGTTGGCTATCTCTGTTGAGTTCAGCCACTACTTGGCGGAGTATGAGCAGCATCTCACCCAGATCGGAGATTCGTGCCATTGATTGCACCTTTGCTCCAGCGTTGTTGCTTGAACCGCCAACAACATCGTCAATCTCGATACTGACCATTTGAGCCTCCGCCATGGATCCCCGTCGAAGACCACAATCTTCTTTTCCTCGTCGCAGAACCATGTTTGACTTCAAACACACGTGTCCCACTGGGCGTGCCAAATTGTTTCCTCGGAAAAACCAAATGCCACCGCCGGTGCCGAATTCGTTCCCGGCGATATTGATTTAATATTTCGCAGTGGAAACTCTTGCGGTGCCGATTGAACGGATGCACCACTATCTTCTGAACAAATACCACCGTCGGCGTTCCAAACGACGATGTTGATTTGATCGAATTGATGCGCCACTGACTTCTAATCAAGACGACTGTGACTATGGTTCACACCTCTCCAAACTACGTTCGAACGAGGGTGTTTGAGTTTTTGAGGAATCTACGTTACGACTACTCCTATGGAGATTCCTGTGGAGAGCTCCGCGACTACGATTAAGACTACAACTATGGAGATCCTTCCTGGAAGGAGAGCTCCGTGAAAGAGTTACAGAGAAAAGGTAAAGTTTTGAACATAGTTGATCTGTGTTGATTTTTTGGTTGTTTTCTTTCTCTCTCCTTGCTCCGCTGCTCTTATTCATAAAACAGCTTCGTAGTCTTCACGCTAGGTAGAACCGCTTCCTCAACTGCTCCGTTGCGAACTCCCACGTGTCTCAACCATCTTGATCTCCTCCTCATTCGGGTTGGTGTGAATATCACGCGATGTCGTTTTCTTCCCCAAACAGCTCTGTTTGCTTTTTTACTCCACGACATTGTTTTATATTAAACACTGTCGTTTGCTAATACAGCGGTACCGTTGGGCTTACTCGCGGTACCGTTTTTAATTAATCGGCACCGCTTATCAAGGCCTCCTGCGGCATCGTTTTTAAATCCGCGGTACCGTTTTTATTTTCCGCGATGCCGCTTATCTCCATGCGGTACCGATTTTCCCCTTCCAACAAGGAATAAAAAATATTAATTAATTATAAACAAAAACTCCTTCCCCGACACCTACACTAAAACGCGCGCCCCTTTTATTTTCCGGCGGTGTCGTTTCCAGTGTCGCGGTACCGCTGAGCTTCCTTGCGGTACCGTTTTTTATTTCGCGGTACCGTTTTCTGTTTCGCGGTACCGTTTTAGCTCTCCTCCTCCGAAAAGGAATAAACAAAAAGCATTCCTTTTCCAACAGCAATACTACGCGCGCGGCCCCGTCTTGCTTTCTGGTAAACAGTGTCGTTTCCAGTGCCGCGGTACCGG